GCTATTGTAATCATTGGAACAATACTGGTCAATCAGAATGCCCTACCGAACAAGATTTCGTTCAAGTAATGGTGGAATCTTTTTATCTCGAGTCGAACTTTCTCGATTTTAATCTTAAAAGATTGTTCGCGCTATAAATTGCGTGGTCGTGCCAAAAAAATCAAGCTATATTCGACTGACTTGGTCTAATCGAGCCAAATATTCGGAGTTGCTTTGGTGCGTGCTTTTATAATGGCCTCAATTTTCCATTTGTCTTGTTCTCACACAATGCGGATATCCTGTGAAAAATTTATTCCATCGGCGGAAAAGAATCTGAAACACCAATTTTGGAGCGTTTCAATTTTGCAACTGCAGTATGATGAGAAAATCATATATACACGATTCACACCATTATACATACACACAAAAACCTATACGAAGAACAAAACCGATGTTCAATTGCAAATCAATATATTTTGATAACGGCATTAACAGACGAAATGAAATCCTGAAATCGTTTGAACAAGTTCAACCTCTTATTTTGACATCGACATAAAATATTAAACCACGTGGGTAGCCCGACTGTGAGCCGGTACCGAATAGGGGGGGTTTATTTCCCGGTAACCGCGCTCCCGGTAAGTCAGTAGGGAGTTTACGAAACCACGACGGCAACGGTAACGGGAACGTCACTGAACAAAAGGATTAATGAGCAGTACAATGGCTGTGTACGTGCGTTATAATTCTTGGTACATTTCTTTGCCCACCTTTGCAAGACAACAACGTGAAATGACCAAATTTTGCGTCGCCTGGAGAACGTGAGCCACGACGGCTAATTTTTAAAATTTTATTTCAAATTTATCGCTGTGTTCCGGATTTAGTTTTGCGATAGTTTTGACAGTGATAAACTAAGTAAATGACTTTAGAGTGTCGCGAGATTCGCAGGTAAAATATAAATCCGTTTTTTAATCGACGTTGTCCTCGGCGTCGCCGTCGTGGTTTCGTAAACTCCCTAGTTTGCCCTTTTGACGGCCTCATTCCCAGTCTTCTGGCGTCCTACAATTTTCTCAGAAGAGTCCGGCCGAACAAATGAGGAGGCGAATGGTAAATGCGAGACGGCGAGACAAGCGTTTTTCTTTGCGAGCCCGAGACATTTTGACTTTTTAGATTGCGAGACCGAGACTTCAAAGCGCTTTGAGTGCGAGCAAGAGACGTTCAGACTCCTAAAATTCGGGCCCCAGATTTAGTTGAGAGCTAGAATGAGCTTGTACAGCCTTAAGCCAGCTTCTTGGAACTGACTGGAA